TTACTTCAAAATGCCCTACCTCCACCAATGCCCGGTGCCTACACTAGGCACTACAAGCACACGTGAGGAAAAGTTTGCCTTGAGCAGCTAAGGCACACGGAGCTTTCTGGAAGCCTCTTGTTACGGCGGTGGTCAGAAGGGCCTCCACCAGTGCGGATCTGCAGCCTGCGAGATCCACCTCCTCACCCAGGGTCCCAAGGTCACGAGGGCTCCCTTCGGAGCAGCCAGCGGAGGAGCGATAAGCAGCGGAGCCCCGGGCGCGGCCGGCGGGGCCGCCGATAACTGTACCTAGAGGCGGCGGCGGCGGCGCTGGCACAGGAAGCGGCTCCGCGCCGCCGCGGCGGCTCCCACACAGCCATTTTACGCGCGGCGGCGGCCGCGCTGCCAGGCGGCCTTCATTTTGTGCGGCGCGCGCGGCGGGCGCGCGCTCCCGCGCAGGTGGAGGGTGGATGCCCGCGGCCCCGGCGCCGTCGGCCGCGCCCGGCCCGGCCCGGGGGAGGCGGCGGCGGCTCCCCCGCCTGCCCCCCGCTGCGCAGAGCGGCGGCCCGGGGGAGGGGGGGAGCGGCGCTCCCGGGAGCAGGCTCCTCCTGGAGAGGCAGGGGAGCCCGGGGACCCCTCTCCTGGCAGGTCGGCCTTGCTATCGTCCCTCCCCCCGGGCGGGCAGTGCCGTGTGTCCCGTCCCTCCCCCCGGGCGGGCTGGCTGTGCCGTCTCTCCCCCCGGCAGGCCGTGCGAGCGCGGCGGGGCGGGCACTCACCGCTCCGGCAGGCTGAGAGGCGGCGGCGGCCTCGTCCTCCTCCGGCGACGGCGGCCCGATCTTGCTGCAGGTGGCCGCCAGCAGCGCGAGCGGTGACGGCTGCGCGTCCTACCCACAAGGGGCGGGTTCAGGGAGAGACGGGGTGGCGGTGAGCGCGGGGCCGCGGCCGCGCTCCCCGCACACGCGCGCACAGGAAGCGGCGGCGGCGGCGGCTCCCGCTCACAACGTGTCACGGGCGGGGGGGCGGGCGGGCCCGCGCTCACCTGGGGGGCGGCGGCGGCCGCGGCGGCGCCGTTGCCGTTGCCGTGCTGGAGGTACTCGCCGTGGCTGCTGCTGTCCACGTCCAAGGCAGCCATTTCCTCTTGTTTCACGGGCTTCTCGGGAGCTGCGGGCGCAGCGGGGAGGGGGAGGGGAGCGTCACTGACGGGCGCGATCACCCCCCCCCCTCCCTCCCTCCCTCCCTCCCGCGGCCTCCCCCCCTCCCGCCCGCTCCCCCCCCCTAACCCCGGCGCTCCCCCCGCCCTCCCGCACGGAGCCCTCCTCCTCCTCCTCCTCCTCCTCCCCGCGCTGCTGCCCCTGCCCCTCTTCTCCCTCCTCCCCCTGCTCCTCCTGCTGCTGCTCTCAGTGCCGCTCTCGCCTCGCTCGCGCACGGACGCTCGGCGGGAAGCGCGGGGCCGCAGCAGGAGCGCCGCGGGGCGCTGCGTACGTACCGGTCATGGCGGGAGCGGCGGGCGGGCGGGCGGCCGGCTGCGCGGGCGGC